AGAAAAGGCTGATTTTGGGGTGTAGCATCCCTGGGGACCTTCTGGAAAAGGTGGGTTTGGGGTGTAGCATCCTTGAAGACCTTCAGGAAGCGGTGGTTTTTGGAATGTAGCATCCATGGAAACCTTCTGTAAAGGGCAGTTTTAGGATGGAGCATCCTTGGGAATCTTTGGGAAGGAGTAATTTTGGGATGTGGGGCTGCAGGGAAGGAGAACAGCCCCATTCCCCTGTGGGACGTGAGGACTCTGCTGCTCAGCTCCTGCCACAGCCACCAGGGAAAGAAGGAAAACACGTCCGTGGCTCCGTGAAAACCACGGAGATTTTAACGAATTTTAATTCCATTTCTCACTTTTCACTCCTAATTTCCTTTTTGGAAGAGCAAGGGTCTTTTTCCACTTTTTTTTTTTCTGGCACAACTCCCAGCAAAGACGCTGTGGGAAGGAGATGGACACCCCCACCCCTATCCCGCCCTGCCTCCTCCTCAGAGCATCCTCCCCTCTCTGCAGGTGTGACACCCAAATCAGGGCACTCCCCCATCCTGAAGTGCCCCACGGATTTCCCCCTCATCCTCTGGCACCCCTATGCCAGGCACTACTATTTCTGTGTGATGACGGGCAAGGAGCAGGACAAGTGGCGAGCGGTGTTCCAGGACTGCGTCCGGCACTGCAACAACGGTGAGCGGGGCTGGGGGGGACACAGGGTGGGGACAGCATTGTCCCCCTGCTCTGGGGAGGGTGACTGGGTGGTTGGGGTTGGGTTTTTGGGGCCAAAGATGATGATTTGAAGGTCAAGAGGAGGAGTTGGGTGGGAGCTGCTGGATAAGAAAATGCTCTGGGGAGGTCTTAGAGCATCTTCCAGTGACTGAAGGGGCTCCAGGAGAGATGGAAAGAGCTGGGGGGAAAGGACAAGGGGATTGGCTTCCCACTGCTAGAGGGTGGGATTGGAAGGGATATTGGGAAGGAATTCTTCCCTGGGAGGGTGGGGAGGCCCTGGCACAGGTTGCCCAGAGAAGCTGTGGCTGCCCCATCCCTGGAAGTGTCCAAGGCCAGGTTGGACAGGGCTTGGAGCAACCTGGGCTAGTGGATGGTGTCCCTGCCCATGGCAGGGGGGTGGAACAAGATGATCTTTAATGTTCCTTCCAACCCAAACCATTCCATGGTTCTGTGACTGAGCCCTTTATCTGCCCCTTGGAGCGTGGGCAGAGCAGGAACATCCAGCTGCTGGAGCATCCCTGTGCCCACTCCCATCCCCCTGCCCGTAGGGATACCTGCCCAGGGCATGAAGCATTTACAGAGCCAGCACAGAGGCTAACTGAAGAGCTGCCCTCATGCCTATTTTCCACCCTGAGGTAGAAAATACTTGGTAAAACAGTCATCAAACCCCAAATCCCAAACCCCACCGAGGGCAGCCAGGGCTGTGGGCAGAGGGGAGGAGGTAGGACCTGCCTCCCACGTCAGCAATACTCTGGCAGGAAAACACGATTTTCCTGCTTGGCTGTGGCCTGGGAACTCCTGGGCTGAGCCCCAGGTCCTGGCCCTGCCTGGGATGGGGAGAAGTTTCCTGGGGAGGGTGGTGCCAGAGCTGAAACCTGCTCAAAATCGGGTCTTTTAGTGGGCAAAGAGCAATGCTGCCTATTTTTGAAGTGCTTCTTGCAGTCCTAGGAGCTCTGTATAGCCTGAATTTTGCCTTGATTTTGCCAGAGCTGCTGTTTAGGGAGCAGAGTAAAGGGGTGGGATCCAGTGCCTGGGTTTCAGTGGGAGTTTCCATCCTCCCAGGTTAGATTAAATCTTCTGAAATCTGCTATTTTGCTTTTTTTTTCCTTGTGCTGGGGGTGTCCAGTCTCGTTGGGCTGAGTGTGCCCCCTCAGCCCACCAAGGGCCTGGCTCCTTGGAGGGGGGTGGGTGGGTGCAGTGACCCTTCATCCCTCTTGGGATTGTGCCTGAGCATCATTTCTGGATGCCACTCAGCACCCCAGGACCCACAACACCAGGGCACTGTGAGCCAAACCAGCTCTGGGTAAAAGAGGAATTAATCTCCTGCTAACAAAACCCCAATTTATGATCTTTAACTCCCCCCCAGCACCCCGGGTGCTGCTGTGAGAGACAGGGGAGGTGTGAGCTCCTCCACCACCCCTGCTCCCTGCCAGGGCTGTGCCAATAAATCCTCTCCTCCCTCTCCTTGTCCTCAGCATGTGATGGAAAAGCCTTCCTGGGGTGGGCAGTGGGCAGGGAGGGCTCAGTGCTGGGGAACTTCTGCATTCCTACAGCCCAGATTTCTCTGTGAGATTGTTCTTCCTGCCCCTCACTGCTCCTGAGAGCTCTGGGATACTGTTTCATATTCCATGAAAGCTCTTTTGTTGTTGTTGTTGAGCACTTTTCATTTTTTTTTATCCCTAAATTAGAGGCTCTGTTTCTGCCTCTGGTTGTGAGCCTTGTGGGAATTTTCATCTCCCCTTCTCAGGCTGTATTTCTGTAACACCAGCTCTGCTGGAAGGACTGGGGATGTGCAACACTGTTCCTCACACACACAGTGCCCAGCCTCGTGTCCCTGGAGCCCTTGGCTGCTCCAAAAGTGTCCCTTGCCCTGTTTGGTGACACATGGGGCTGGGGCAGTGCCTACCCTGAGGGTCTTGCCCCTTGTTAAGGATGGTTTGGGTGGGAAGGGACCTTAAAGATCATCTTGTTCCACCCCCTGCCATGGGCAGGGACACCTTCCAGTAGCTCAGGTTGCTCCAACTTGACCTGGAACACCTCCAGGGATGGGGCAGCCACAGCTTCTCTGGGCAACCTGTGCCAGGGCCTCCCCACCCTCCCAGGGAAGGATTTATTCCCAATATTCCATCTAACCTGTCCTCTGGCAGTGGGAAGCCATTCCCCCTTGGCCTGCCACTCCATGCCCTAAACCACATATTAATGAAGCAAACTCATTAAATTTGCCCCATGAAGTGGCACAGGGGCTTCTCTCAGCCCTGCTTGTCCCTGGACAGGGCACAGTGATGTCCCCAGGCTTGGTCTGGGGTGAGTGACTCTGAGGGGGGCAGATCCAGGAGGCTTTTTGTGGGGTGAATCTTGCCCCACTCTCTGCAGGATTTGGAGGATGATCTGTAGCAGCTCTGATTGGGGACTGAAGCTCGTGCCAAGCTGTCCCAGCTGGGAGGGGATGCTGAGCTGCTGGGATCCATGGATGGAGGAGCTCAGCCTGGCTCTGGCTCCCCCCGAACCCTGAGAAAGGACAGATTTGACTTTCTCAGTGTTTCCCCCCCTGTATATTAAGCTGCCCCTTAGGAAAAGCTGCTTAGGCTCGGAGTTAATTGTAATCATCTTACAAAAGTCTGTGTGCAGTGGGAAAGATCCGCTCCCTGCCCCGGGCTGCCCCTCCTGGGAAGGGAAAACCCACCCCTGGGTGTCCTGGGTGGTGCAGGGATGTGCTGTGACCCTCTGCTGTCATCACTGCAGGGATGCTCTCCCAGAGCCTCTGCTGGGGGACAGATCACCCTGACAGGGCTCACATCCATCCTGCTTCCCTCCTGCCAGGGGTCTGGGCATGGGGAGTGGAGTTGGGTGCTGGGGAGGTTCATGCCAGGGGTGTTTCTCTGGCTGTGAGGCACCTCCACAGCCTGGGTAGGCTGGGACAAGGCAGGGAAGTGTGTGGGACAGCTCTTGGTCTGTCCTGCCTGTCACTGTCCCCATCTCCTCCTCCTCCTCCTGCACATGGCATGTGACCACAGGCTCCCAGCACCCTGCCCCTCCTCCTGATGGGGGCTGGGGGAGGGTGGGGGTGACGTCTGAACCCCCTCGTGCTGGTGACCCCGTGAGCTGTGCTGCAGTGACTCACCTCGGGGTCAGCCCAGCTGCCTGGGGATGGGCCCTGACTCATTTCTGATGCCTCTTGACCACTTTCCTCTTCCTCCTGAGCTGTTCTGCTCCCTTCAGGCCCCCCCCTTTCCTCCAGCCCCCCCCAGCTGCCCTGTCCCGTGGTGCTGGGGGGCTCACTGGTCCCCAAGCAGTGTCAGGGGTCACTCAGCCCCCCATCCTGCTCAGCCCCTGCTCCTTTAGTGCTTTAGTGCCTTTAGAGCTCACTGAGCCCCCAGGTCCCCATGTACTGTTTGGGGTCACTGAGCTCCCCATCCTGCCAAGCCCCTGCTCCTGCTGTGCCTTCAGGGCTCACCAAGCCCTTGGGTCCTCACATCATTGGAGGTCCCTGTGCCCAAGGTCCTCGTGCACCATTGGGGGTCACTGAGCCCCCCATCCTTCCAAGCCCCTGCTCCTGGGTGCCTCCCTGCCCTCAGTCTGGCTCTGGAGGGGTTAATCTGGACTGAATAAGAGACCCCCAACCACTGCTGCCCCCCACCCAGTCAGAGACAGTGTCCTGGGACAGGACCCCCCAGTCCTGGTGGCATCCCTGAGCTCCTTGCACGGCTCCGAGGGTGTGGGGGACTGCAGGGATGCTCTGCCAAGGTGGACTGGGGTGCTGCAAACTCCCTGGCGGTGCCAGGCTGCCCACTCATGCCCCCCCTGCCCTCTCCAGGGATCTCTGAGGACTCCAGGGTGGAGGCTCCAGCCTTCACGGACGCCGTGCGCATGTACCGCCAGGCCAAGGAGCAGTTTGGCACCTGGGACATGCTGTGCGGCAACGAGACCCAGGTGAGCTCCTCTGTCCCACCCCGGGCTCTGGGGGCACGTGGGAGCCGAGTAGGGCCCCCAAAACCTCCTGCCTTACAGGTCCTGAGCAACCTGGTGATGGAGGAGCTGCTGCCCGAGCTCAGGAGCACCATCGGCCCCCGGCTGAAGGGGAAGGCTCCGGAGCGCCAGCGGACCTGGATCCAGGTGTGGGGCTGGGATTGCTGGGGGAGGGGGTCACCGTTGCTGTCCCTCCCCCTGCCTGCAGTCCCAGCTTTGGGGGCTGCAGTGCTTCCTTCCTCCCCTCCCTGCCGGGCTCGCTGCCCACCAGCTTTTCTGCCCCCTCTCCCGGCCCCCTCCAAAGAATCCGTCCTTTCTCCACAGTGGCTTTTTAAAGCTGTGCCCCTGCCCAGCCCTGCCCAGCCCTGCCTGCTCTGCCTCGTCCCCGGGGCCAGGGAAGCAAACAGGAGGAAGCCCAGCCCCGGAGCAAAGCCTGTCCTGGCTATTTTTAGTGAGCCATTTTTAGAGCAGCGCAGGCTAAATCCAGCCCAAACCCTTGCGAAACACTGAGGGCTCTTCAAAACTGCCTGGTAAAACCTTAAAACCCGGCACATAATTACCACCAGGCTGGTAATGGGCCACTGGAGCAGCCTGAAAACACACAAACACTGCTTTCTCAGTAGCTGTGGTCTTAGCTGCAAAACTGGGAAGCCCAAGGGAGGGAGAAGGGGATGGCTCTGCTTCCTGCCAGCCCCAAAATCCTGGCATTTGGCTGCAAAGTGAGTGTGAGACTTCAGCGAGTGGCTCCATCCTGCACATGGGGTTGGCTCCTGAGAGCCCAGGCAGGATGAGTAGGCAGTGCACAGCTTTCCAATGGGGTCAGGGGTTCTCCTGCCTGGACCACCAATATCCCTGGACCAGCAGCATCCCCAGCCCTGCAGCACCTCCAGCCCTGCAGCATCCCTGGACCACCATCATCCCCAGCCCTGCAGCCCCCCAGCCCTTCAGCATCCCCAAATCTGCAGCATCCCTGGACATGCAGCCTCCTCAGACCCACCTGTCTGCTCGAGGCTCAACTCTGTGCCCCTCCAGCACCACTTTGAAGCAGCTTCTGCACCGCAGGACCTTCATCTCACCCAGCTTGATGGGGTCCCTGGGTGGCAAACCTGCTGCAAGGCAGGGTCCTGTCAGGGCAGGGGGAGAGGCTGGGCTGGTCCTGCAGGGGATGGGTTGGGGGGGCAGCTGGAGGTGAGGGGAGCAGGCAGGTGACCAGCCCAGCTGTCCCTGTCCCCCCAGATCTCAGATGCCGTGTACAGGATGGTCTATGAGCAGACCCAGGCCCAGTACGACGCTGCCAGGGCGCGGTGCGAGCAGGAGCGGCCCCGGCTGGAGAGCACCATCCGCACCGACATGGACCAGATCATCACCTCCAAGGAGCACCTGGCCAGCAAGATCCGAGGTGCAGCCCCACAGGGATGTGCATGGATGTGTCCATGGCCAGCTCCTGGGGTGGCATTCCCCCCGTTCCACCAGGGTGTGGCTGTTCCCAGGACGCAGCTCTTGGAACCCTTGGGGAGGTGCCACCAGGAGCAGTTTTGGGGTGCTTGTCCTTCACTGGCGCTGTCCCAGGAGGTGGGGACAAGGTGGGAAGTCACCCCTTCAAGCATGATAGGACTGGGTTCAGTACAGACCAGGGGCCCTCTCCAAGAAGGGTTGTCCTGCAAGTGGGAGCCTTTTGGGTCCTTCTCCGTGGGGTGGGTTTAGGATCTGATGTGAGGAGCTGGCAGGGCAGAGAGGAGCCTCACCATGCTTCTCCCTGCTCTCTCCAGCCTTCGTGCTGCCCAAAGCAGAGGTCTGTGTGAGAAACCATGTCCAGCCCTACATCTCCTCCATCCTGGAGGCCCTGATGACCCCCACGAGCCAGGGCTTTGCCGAGGTGAGGGAGGTGTTCTTCAAGGAGGTGACAGACATGAACATGAACGTCGTCAACGAGGGTGGCCTGGAGAAGCTGGTGGAGGTGAGACCCAGCAGTGCTCCTTGCTGGCTGGTGGGCTTAGGGGTGACAGAGCCACTCCTGCTACCCTGCCCAGTGTGGGCAGCGCTGGGGGACCCCAGGCTGGGAAAATACGGGGGAATTCTTTCCCATGAGTACGTGGAGAGGCTGTCCCACCCTGCTGAGCCTGGCTTTGTCCCCAGTACATGGAGAAGCTGTCCCACCTGGCCTTCCACCCCGTGAAGATGCAGTCGTGCTATGAGAAGATGGACCAGCTGAAGCTGGAGGGTCTCCAGCAGCGATTCGATGTCTCCAGCACGTCTGTCTTCAAGCAGAGGGCCCAGATCCACATGAGACAGGTGGGATGGGGACTGGGCTCCTCCCGTGCCCCCCTGGGCTGGGCACAGAGGGCTGGGGAGCCCAGGCAGGGTTTGACTGGGATGTCTGTCCTGTCTCAGGCTAAGGGTGGATCAATCCTGAGGGTGGGCAGCTCCCAGGCTTGGGCATCACACCACAGCTGCCCCTCTGCCACTGAGCCCACTGGCACCAGCAGGGCCAGGAGCCCAATTCTGGGGTCTGATCCAACCAAACCTGGAGTGGGGTGTAGGAGGATGAGCTTTGAGCACCCTCTTCCTCCAGCATCCTTGGTCCTTGTGATGGAGGCTGCGGATGCCACACTGGGCTGTCAGGGACCCTCCCAGAGTGAAGGATATTTGCCTGTTGGATATTAAAAATAAATTCTTCCCTGTGAGGGTGGGGAGGCCCTGGCACAAATTGCCCAGAGAAGCTGTGGCTGCCCCATCCCTGGAAGCATCCAAGGTCAGGTTGGACAGGGCTTGGAGCAACCTGGAATAGTAGAGGGTAATACAAGATAATCTTTAAAGTCCTTCCAGCCCAAACCAGTCTGGGATTCTGTGATAAGGCTCATTTTGGGGTGTCACTGCCCCCAGAGCCCCCTGCCCACCCCTGTGGCTGGTCCCTTTGGTTCCCCCCCCACTCTGACCCCATTCCTCTGCTCCCAGCAAATGGATGATGCCGTGCACACCTTCGAGACGCTGCTGCACCAGGAGCTGGGGAAGCTGCAGGGCAAGGACGACCTGTGCAAGTCCATCCAGCGCATCCTCGAGAGGGTGCTCAAGGTGAGGCCTTTGGTGGCCTGCAGTGCCCTTGTCCCAGGGCCAGGGAAGATGCCAGGAGTGATGTGATCGACTTCAACAAAAGTCTTCTGGGGAAATACTTCTCTATATTGAGGTTTTCATGGAGAGGGGGAAATTACCTGGAGGAGCCAGGCCCCTGTCACTGTAAAAGCCACCCAGGGTTCAGACTGGCCCCCAAACCTTCCTTCAGGCAGCCATGGAGGAGTTGGCTTCTCCCCAGGCTCAGGCACCCCGGGAAGCAGCTGGAAAGAGGGATGTGAGGGCAGAGGAGTCTGTTCACTCCTCTACAAATGGGGGGCAGGGAGGGGGCAAAACTTGGGGGGTTTGTCCCCGAGCTCAGGGGGCTGCCAGCCCTCAGCCCTCTCTGACCTGGGGCACCCTCTCACTGACCCTGCAGAAGTTCGACTATGACAGCAGCACGGTGAGGAAGAAGTTCTTCAGGGAGGCCCTGCTGCAGATCACCATCCCCTTCCTGCTGAAGAAGCTGGCACCCACCTGCAAGGGGGTAAGAGGGCAACGTCTGGGGTGTGGGGAGGGACCACCTTCCCCTGCAGAGGGGCTGGAGTGTCCCTCCCACCCGGGCTGAGCCACGCGTTCTCCCAGCAGGAACTGGCCAAGTTTCAGGAGCTGATCTTTGAGGACTTTGCCAGCTTCATCCTGGTGGAGAACACGTACGAGGAGGTGGTGCTGCAGTCAGTCATGAAGGACATCATGCAAGGTAGGGTCCCTGGCACCTGTGTGAGGAGGGGTGACCCCGTGCTGGGGGCTGTGTGAGGAGGGGGTCACCCCCTCGGCAGGGTGCTGTAGAAGAAGGGGGAGACCCCAAACAGGGTGCTGGAGGTTGGATGAAGAGGGGGCGACCCCCGTGCAGGGTGCTGGGTTCTGTACAAGGGGAGGTGACCTAGTGAAGGGTGCTGGGGGCTTACAAGGAGGGGTGACTCTGTACAGGGTGCTGGGGGCTCTGTGAGGAGGGGGTGACCCTGTGCAGGGTGCTGGGGGCTGCACAAAGAGGGGTGACCCTGTGCAGGGTGCTGGGGGCTGCACAAGGAGGGGTGACCCTGTGCAGGGTGTTAGGGCTGCCCCAGCAGCAGCTTTCCCACAGGTTGAGCAGTGGGTGGGACGCTGAACCCCCTTGCCCAGCTCTAGACCCCACTCCCTGTCCCCACGGGGAGGACTGGCAGAGGTGCCCCGGGCTGGCGGGTGCCCGCAGCCCCTCTGACCCCGCTGTGCTCCCCCCCAGCCGTGAAGGAGGCGGCGGTGCAGCGCAAGCACAACCTGTACCGGGACAGCATGGTCCTGCACAACAGCGACCCCAACCTGCACCTGCTGGGCGAGGGCATCCCCATCGACTGGAGCGAGGAGTACCCGGGGCAGCCCGAGCCCGAACCGGCCGGGCAGGGCGACCGGCGCCGCAGGGCCAGGCAGGTGGTGTCGGTGATCCAGGATGACGAGGGGACCCTGCCCTACGAGATGGGCACCGAGCCGCGGGAGCCGCAGGATCCCGGAGTGCCACCCAGCTCCCCGGGTGGGGTGAAGGAGATCCGGGAGGCGCTGGCACAGGAGAGCCCCGGGGACGGCGCTGGGGAGGAGGAGGAGGAGGAGGAGCAGCTGACGAACGGCACCGATGCCGCGCGGGAGGGCGGCGCCGGCGAGGAGGGGGTGGCAGGGTCTGTGCCGGGGGGTGTCACCCCCCGAGGTCCTGCCAGTGAAGGGGATGGGCTGCACTGCCCCACACCGGCATCGCCTGGAGCCGAGGCCCCGCCTGGGGCTGCGATGAGACGTGTTGCACCAGCGCCGCCTGTGCCCGGAGCTGCGGGCCCACCGGGAGCTGGGGGGCGACGTTCCACACCAACATCTCCTGTCCCTGGAGCTGAGATCACGTCAGGGCCTGGGGAACAACGTCCTGCACCAGCATCTCCTGTGCCCAGAGCTGAGATCCCATCAGGGGCTGGGGAACAACATCCTCCACCAACATCCCCTGTCCCTGGAGCTGAGATCCCGTCAGGGCCTGGGGAAAAACGTCCTGCACCAGCATCTCCTGTGCCCGGAGCTGAGATCCTGCCAGGGGCTGGGGAACAACATCCTGCACCAGCATCCCCTGTCTCTGGAGCTGAGATCCCATCAGGGCCTGGAGAAAAACGTCCTGCACCAGCATCCCCTATCTCTGGAGCTGAGATCCTGTCAGGGCCTGGGGAACAACGTCCTGCACCAGCATCTCCTGTCCCTGGAGCTGATGTCCCATCAGGGGCTGTTGTGCCACAGGTCACGCCAAGATCATCCTTGCTGGCATCACCTGTGCCCAGAGCCGATGTCCCCTCAGGGGCTGAGGTGCCACATGCCACACCAAGATCATCCGTGCTGGCATCACCTGGAGCCAACGTCCCAGCAGAGCCCAGCCTGCCCCACGCTGCACCAGCATCCCCCAAAGCCGATGTGCCAGCAGAGGTGCCCCACGTCACACCAGCATCGTCCCCGGCCCCCGGAGCCCAGAGCGCCGGGACAGAGCGTCACCGGCCCAGCGACCAGGAGACGGGCGAGGATGTGACCCCTCCGGGCCCCCCGCAGCCCACGGGCACCACAGAGAGCGGTGAGGGGGTGCAGACTGAGTTCTAGCCCAGCCCCCCCTGCTGTGGACTGGCCCCGGGGACGCTGGGGGTTGGGGAGGGGGAACAGGATCCCTGCCGGGGATAGAGAGCAGCGCCGCGGGAGAGGGAGGGGATGGGAACACCGAGACCTTACTGCCTTGCCGGGGGTCCCCGCTGCCGTGGGGGGGCCGGCCACAGCCACCGGGTCGGACTAGGGGTGACCCCAGCCCGGCACAGGGCACCCCCTGCACTCTGCTCTGTCCTTCTTCTGCCTTATTTCCTTTTCTACTGAAGAGATGCTTTACTGAAGAGATGCTTTATCTGCCCACCAGCACAAGTGCCTGGGGTTGCTGGGGGGGGGTGCTGGCACTCGCCCCACTTGGGGTGGGGGTGTGGGATGCTCCTGGCTGCTCCGGGGTCATCCCCTGCCCCAATCCGAGGGGTTTCCCGGGAGCTTGCTCACCACCACCCCACCCGGCCGGCTCCGGGAGTGCCAGTGGGAATGGGGACTGCAGGGGATCGTGGAAAACGCGAGGACAAGCAGGGGCACGGCAGGGATACAGCCATGCTGGGGGGAGTGGAGTGCTGCCGAGGGGGTGAGAGCTGGGGCAAGCATGGGCTCGTGGGACCCAGGCTGAGCTTACAGCATCCAGGCCAGGCTTATGGCACCCAGGCTGGGCTTGTGCTAGCCAGGCTGGGCTTGTGGTACCCGGGCTGGGTTCATGTTGTCCAGGCTGGGCTCACAGCACCCAAGCTGGGCTCACACACCCAGAGTGGGCTTGTGGTACCCAGGCTAGGCTCATGCACCCAGGCTGGGCTCACAGCACCCAGGCTGGGCTCACAGCACCCAGGCTTGGCTCATGGCACCCAAGCTGGGCTCATGGCACCCAAGCTGGGCTCACAGCACCCAGGCTGGGCTCACAGCACCCAGGCTTGGCTCATGGCACCCAAGCTGGGCTCACAGGTCACCCTCACCCCAAGGTCTTCTGGCAGCTATTTAAGTTCAGAGTGACATCTCTGGGGGAAGGTGGCACTCACATGGTGTCCCCAGCCGTGCCTGGCAGGACTGGGCTGTCTCCAGGCTCAGCTTGCTGTGCAGTGGAGGGATCCCAGCCCTTGCCCTCTGGAGCTCCCCGTTTCCATGCTCGGATCATTTCTCCAGCTCTCAGGCTTGGCGGGTTTTGGCACCTGCAGTGATGGTCGAGCAAAGAGCGGTGGTTTGCTGACCCCCCAGCTGCCCTGCCCACCGTGGGGAGGGGGATGGGACGGCTGCAACCCCCCCACAGGGATGCCAAAAGCCCTGGGGCTGGGGGGGATCTGCAGGACTCGGGGAGGGGGGTGAGACACGTGCACGTGTGTGCACCGAGCAGGGCCCAGCACCCGACACTCACCTGTGCTTCAGGTGCCAGCTCCTGCCCCACAGGGGGGGTGCCCAGCCTAACCCACTCGGGGAGGCCCCCCCCAAAAAGTGCCTTGCTTTGGGAAACTTAAAATCTGTCTCTTCCAGGATATTTTATTAAGAAAGATATACAAATGTTTAAAGATATGCTTATAATAATTAATAAAACGTAAAAGCTTTATTTAAAGCCAGAGGAGGCTGTCCTTATTCCTGAACCTCACTGCTGGGGAGTAGGGCTGGGGACTCCCATTCCTACTGTGACCAGGGGGTGTCACGTCCTGAGAGCACCCAGCAGTGACACAAACCAGGAGCAGAGTGACTGAGATGATTTTATTAAAACGGGTGTCCTGAGGAAGCAGCAAGAGGCACCTGGAGCAGCACTGTCCCCCTGGCTCGGGGGCTGCTCCGACCCCATCCCTGAAGCACTGGCAGGAGGGGGGTGGGTGAGGGGCAGCAGGACCCCCCAGCATCCCCAGAAGGCACTGTGTGAAGAGGGGCTTGGTGCAGGGCAGCTCTGGGGCAGGAGGGCGGGGGCCCTGTCCCCAGCGTGTCCCCATCCCCAGCAAGTCACCGGACCATTCCTGTTCCAGCCAGGATGAACCTCCTCGAAAAGTGGGGAGGGGAAGGAAATACCCAGCACCCCCCTGCTGTCACCTCCTGGCCAGAGGTCCCTGAGAGCCAGGGGACAGCCACCAGTGTGGCAGTGCTGGCCGTGGGGCTCCCCGTCCCCAGCACTGCCCCCTCCCAGCGGGGCCAGCCCCGAGAGCCCCACAGCAAGTCCCTGGGGCTCTGCGTCCCACCCGGCACAGGGGACAGGGACAGAGCCAGCAGAAGTGACAGTAGCTATTCCAGACAGAGCAGCAGGAGGTGGGGGCACGTGTCCCACCGCCCCAGGGGGGTCTAACCCCGGCCGAGCAGGGGGTACACCACAAAATAGCCCAGCGTGGAGCCCGCGATGGCCCCCAGGAAGATCCAGGCGTTGTAGGACATCACAGCCAGCATCACCAGGTAGCCCAGCACCACCTGCACCACGTGGAACAGCGTCTGCCCCACGTGGTACCGGAACCACCTGTGGGACAAGACGGGAAACCCCGTCACTGAGGGGCCGGGACAGCCCATGTCCCCCTCCTGCCAGGATCCCGGAGCAGATAGGGAGGGATTTGGGGAGCAGGGAGAGGGATGGGGGCTGCAAACAGCAGGGGGAAATCCTGTCCCAAAGGGGATTTTATTAAGAAAAATAGGATGTTATAGGGGAGGACATTATTAAGAGGTTGGCAGTAAGAGCAGCCTCAGGGATTAAACATGAGAGGAAAAACCCAGGGCTTGGCTCCAAAGGAAGGAATAGCTGGGAATCTGTTGCTTGTGCCCATCCCTGAACCATGAAGACCCTCCTGTACCCACAATGGCTCTCGGGGGAAAAATGAGCCTTTAGACACCACCCTGGACATCCCCCAGAGCGCCAGGAGGGACTGGGATGCCCCTGGAGCCACCTCCCCAGGCTGTACAAACAGCCCTTTCCTGGGGGAAAGCAGTTCCCTGGAACTCCTTGGCTGTCTCCCTAGAGCCCTCCTCCCCTCCTGCACTGGCCAAGGGGACACAGACCCCTCCCTGAGTCCCCCACTGCCCACCAGAGGGTGCAAAGGGGGGTCTCTGAGGTACCTGCCCTGCGCAGGGTCGGTGTCCCCCTCCTGTGGCTCCGTCAGGGCCTCCTGGCTGAGGCTGCGGGGCAGTGCCAGCAGTGCCCGCCGCAGCAGCACGGCCTTGCCCATCTTCAGGGCCTCGTAGAGCACAGACAGCAGCAGGATCACCAGCACAGACAGCACCATCCCTGCAGCACAGGGCTCGTGTTGGCCAGGCTGGGCTCACACACCCAGGCTGGGCTCACACACTCAAGCTGGGCTCACAGCATCCAGACTGGGCTCACAGCATCTAGGCTGGGCTCACACATCCAGGCTGGGCTCACACACCCAGGCTGGGCTCACACACTCAGGCTGGGCTCACACACTCAGGCTGGGCTCACAGCATCCAAGCTGGGCTCACACATCCAGGCTGGGCTCACACACCCAGGCTGGGCTC